TAGTATAGATATTATATCAAACGGCTTTCTTAGAAACAAACTTACAAATTTTACCTCTTCATAATATTAGTATAGATATTATATCAAACGGCTTTCTTAGAAACAATATTTGCCATCAAGAAGAATCAGTAATTTCAGATGTGAATTTAAACGTCTGAACTAGACAAACAAATAAAAACGATTTTCTTTCGCGCTAAAATAAGCTTTATATATACATACCTACATATGTATGTGATATGAAGCTGGAGTATTGTACGAGGTAACTAATTAGTTTAACTTGCTAGCAGGTGTATTAGTTAAAAAGTAATAAAAAGTTTCATCTCTATGCGAGTAAAAGTCTCTGTAATTACGGACGTGTTACGACTGTAACTAGTTAACATGAGTTAGGTAGTTTTTATTAACTTTTTAAACTGCTTTACCTATAGATTGCCTTGTTCGTCCTTACCGTTATTGCGTTTTGCTCTCTGATTGGTTGGTTAGTTCGGAACGCGCCAATCGGAGCGCCGAACGGGTTCCAAAACACAAAGGGGTTCATTTTCACAAACAGCGTATACGCGATGTCGCCGATACCGCAGTAAATTAAAATGTAGACACTCTAAATGTTGATATGAATGTTTTACAAAACATTTTAAAAAAGACTAATAAAATTCTGAAAACCAAACTACCAGGAATTCATAAATAATTAGGAATTCAGTACGTCTCTCTATGTCACACTACACATCGCCATGTAGCTTCGTTTCGAGTTCAGCACATGTCCTGAATAGTTTATGTCCATCTAATGTTCTGCTGCCCTGGTACACTTGTTTCTTTATAGCAGGCCATTACGGCCGCGGGACTTAATGGTAGGATATTAAGTAATACCACAAGTTATGATATACTATTAACTGAGTGTGTGTGTGTGTATTTTTCTTTCACCCAAGTATAAGGTAAATAATAGTTTAAATAAATACATGAAAAAACGATTTGAAGCTGCATATAAAACTAAATAACTGAAAGACATATGTGCCCACTAATGATCAAAGACTTCTCTCACACGGTAGAGAAGGTTTAATGTGCATTTTTTAGGAATAGCGCATTCGGCTTTTTTAAACTTTTAATTAGAAATAATAATGTCAGGTTTTCTCACGATGTTTTCCTTCATCGTCTGTCAGAAGAGTTTTAATAATCTTAAATTAGAAGTAGATACATGTAACTCAAAAATGACACACTGCTATTTGTCAGGTTTTTTACCCGCGCACTGACGTTTTTTTACACGCCTGACACTTTTCAGTCGTCTCTGGGCTACCATTACAAAACTGAAGGTTTTTGTTTGAAGTGGGAAATGATTATTTAATTTAGTGCATGGTTGTTGTGTCGCGGGTTCAAACACGGAACAACGGTACTCATATATGTATTCATAAACTGTTGTTCCCGGTCCGCGCGTGATGTGTATCACCCACGATAAAGGAGAAAAACCTATTTTTTTTCTCGACCTGTTCAGGCCTAGAGGAACTGTCAGAATCTTACTGACTAAAAAGCCACCTTGTTCTAGGTCAAGGCCGCGGTACCTAATTGCGCTTGCCCCGCAACCCCGACTATATCCTAATAAGGGTCAACGATTTTAAAAGAAATAGAGGCTCTTCAAGAATCGTTTATAAATTATAATATATGGTTTTGTACTTTTATGTATGTGCTTATAGTGAAACACGATATTCTCGCAATATATATCACAGACATCTTCTTTTTTAACGTCATTTTTCTTCACATATTGCCTTCTTTATTAAATAATCGTCATAGTCTCGTATATCAAGGACGTGAACGCGAAAATTTATTTAAGAATCTAAATACACCAGTCTCCGGCACAAAAACTCCAAAGCTATATACATATATGTATAAAATACATTTTTACATTTAGCATTTCACTGCACATTTGGCGCAGTGGCTGGGCTGATGTCCAACGTGTTCGATCGGGATTCAAGTCCCGCACAAAACAACACTTTTTGGGACCCAAAAATTGTTGCTTCCGGTCTGGGTGATGGTAAAAGAATTTGACGCTTTTTTAAATGAGTGTGGGAGAGCCATGCTTCGGCACGAATGGGTCGGCTCGACCGGAGTGATACCACGGCCTCACAGAAAACCGGCGTGAAACAACCACAACGTTGTGTTTCGCCACGTGAGTGAGGTTACCGGAGGCCCAATCCTTCCCCTACCCCAATCCTTCCTAATCCCTAAATCCCCAAAATCCCAATACTTAAAAGGTCGGCAATGCACTCGTAACTCCTTCATTGGTGTCCATGGGCGACGCCGATTGCTTACCATCAGGTAATCCGTCTGCTCGTTTGCCGTCCGATCACATAAAAAAAAAATATCGCCGATTTTGGAGGGCTTCCTCTACCGCCTACCCCAACCATGCTCGCTCAATTAACCTCTTTCGTAAATCTTCTAGCATACATCATCTTTCATTATAACTAAACTATCTAAATATAATAATATAATAAGAAAAGGAAAAGTTTTCCACTTAAACAACGAAACTAATATCAATTGAACGTTATGTTCGTTTATCAGACGTACGGATTAAATGCAGGACAAATTAAAACAGAATTAAATTGTTCCAACGTGCTCGAACAGCGACGCGACGCTCGGAAAAATCAGACACGATAATATTTCCTGACGTTACAGGGTTGGCAGTTTGTGAACAAAATATCAAAGCTTAAAATTATAATTTAAAAAAAAATTGATTTTTGTGACCATTTTAAACGTGATAATATAAGTACTCAAAAATGTATGTTGCCTGCAAACATAAAATATCTTGTGTTACCTATTAATTTAAATTGATCTGAATGAATCAACTATAAACAAAATCAAAATACAATATAGTTTTTTCTTTGTAATTTGACAATTTCAAATTGTTTATTTAATTTTCTATCCTAAGAAACATCTTAATTAATATTTACTTTCGAAGCACTTTGCCTTCATAAAGATTATATACACCACGTAAATACCTACAAGGGTACGAAATCTCAACTTAATTAAATATTCCAATGCAAATTCTAGAACGTTCGGGGTCTCACTAGAACATTTAAATAGGCCGTAGTATTAAGATATGCATATCTAAGACAAACAAACACAGATGCAAATGAACCGATGCCCATTTATGTAGTACCTGCATAGATTAACATAACACGACATTCGACGTATTAATACCTAAAGTATAAAATAACAGATCGAGATACAATTTGATATACAATGTTTTGGATAATATTTCCGACTTAATGCTGTAACTGAGAAATTTCAGAAAATCTAAAAATTAAACAATATTCCCCAATCCGAAAACTTAACGCCGCAACCATGGTGCGGCAGTTGTATTTGAAATCACTCTGCTAACGATAGGTATTAAAATGTAAACATTTTAAAATATGAAGCATTTACCAGGTGGATCATTAAGTCCCGGGACTAAACTCTTTCGATACAGTTTTATGGTCATGGAAACAGAACGTGAATGCAAAATTTCAGGTGAGCTGGTTGAAGATATCTGTTTCAAAATTTAAATGCAAATTCTAGTACACAAACATATATACATGCATACATACGTTGCAAAATAAATAAAAGCTGGTAAAAATACAACTTAACATTTCAGACTTGAATTCCATGACTGATGAAGAGCATCCTTGAAGGAGGATTACTTAAATGATTAAAATAAAATTCAAGTAAAACCAGAGTGACAGCCCTACGCCACCATGTTATCTGTAGCAAGCAACGCAACGCGCTTTATTAATGGCATTAATTTAAATGAAGAATTGTCCGCCATTTTGTATATTTGACGGCCATATTGTGGTACATGCTGGATGGATGTTGGTGAAGGTTTTGTTTTTCCTCTGTGTCTTTGTATATGTAAAATTACTTAATTAGCTAATAGTCCCGGAGTACTCTCTAAATATATTCTTTGAGGAAAAACAAGCATCATATTATGAACTTAGAACATTAACTCTACGAGTCTAAAAATGGAATAAAAGTTCAGAAAAATTACGTAGCTTGTCTACGAAACGCTACGGCGTAGTCTCGTTAGTGGGAAGTGCTACGAGCTACGAGCCACGTCCAATTCAGTTGCGTAGTAATTTGTATCTCTCAAGCTTATCCAGAAGTTCTGTGTAGAACTTTATGTTATGTTTAACTTTTTCAAATAAAACCCTACAAGATTGCAAATAAATTTTAAGCAATCTTTTGGGGATATGTAATATGCTTCTTCGGCAATTGTAATAAACATTATTACTTTAGAAAAACATTATTACTCCATATCTGATTTTAACTGATAAATTTTAACTGTGGCATAATATTATTGCGTCAAGGTTGTCATGTTAAAATGATGATGAATATCCTATAAGTGTTTGAGTATCACCTTATTCTAAATACCTGCATTCTGAGCAAATAAAATGTTATTCTATTCTATTTTATTCTATGCTATCCTTTCAGAACCTATCCCATTACAACCATTCCAACCAACCACATATAACTATTTATATAATAACTATTTATTCATCGGAGACCTATAAACAAAGATACAAAGAGTTGGGAGTTTTAAGCTGATCTAGCCTGTACCAGGGTACCGCTGTTACTACTGTTACGGTTAATGAAATCATGTACCGCAGTCGCGGCATGAAGTAGGAGAAGGAACAATTTGAATTTCAGTCTGTAGGATTCTGATACTTTCCTCTCGCATAACCCAGTGCGAGGGAATAGAGAGTGAGAAGAATAAAAGATGTTCTCTTCTCTAAAAAACTAAATATATTATAATAATAATACAAAACGGAACTGTACCCCAAGATTGACAAATTAGTGAATTGTCAAATTTGTCGACTTTTATTTTATTCTTTTTTATAATTACCCAACTTTAAATTAGTATATTTTATCTAATTAAGACGTTACTGACCTTAAGAACGTCATAAAAAATTTTTTTTAATCATCTATCTTCAAAGACTACAACGGCATCAATCACCAGCCACGACTTTTCTGACTGCACTTACCTAGAAGTAGGCGGAGATCCAGACAGCAAAGATCCTGAACCCCGCTTGCAGAGCGGAGGCCTGGGGGCTGATGGTCTTCTCTCAACTCCTGATGCGGAGCGGGTAGCTGGGGCACCTTCAGCTGCGAGTACCCTCGCTGATACCAGCGCAGCTTCGGGGCAATGCTGCAAAGAAACCGCCGGTTAGTATTGGATGCAGTGAAATGGCTAACAATTTTAAAAAAAGATGATATAGGCAGCTTGAGATTTACTTGGCCTAGTACAGAAATTATTGTAATGACAACAAATATACATATTTTGATTGAGTATCCGGTTTGATGATCCAATCAATGGAGCTGTCGAAAGTTTGCCATTTAGTGAGCCCAAAATTACCGTAAACCGCATTATTGAATGTAATATTGTGTAGTAGTAGTAGTATTTGATAGGTACCATCATACTTGTTGGTACAATAGATAAGCTAAGCCAAGATTCCAAAATAGGATTTTTTAACCTAATATTTTATGTATAATATAATATGTAATGTTCACTTTCGCTCTGGTTTTCTTAATTATTTAAACTATTCACACACGTTTTTAATAAAAATAATTGATATAATTTTGATTGAAAACATCAGAAATAATTTCTAAGCATCTCTTAACATAACTTTAAAAGCGAGAGATTCGCCTATAAAATGTAAATTAAAGTCAGTAGCATAGCGTTTTGACTGACGAATTAATAATAATTATTATGAATCTTTTCATTTTAAATCATTTAATCTTTGTTCCATTCATTTAGGTTTGATGAACCTTTTATGAAAGGATTGAAGGTATAATACAATTACTTTTAAGGTAAATAGGTGATTCTAGATCTCAGTATTGTCTAGAGTGTTGACTTTTATACAAACAAAAGCAAGTTCACTTTGGGACTGCAATCGATAATTATTCAAGTACAAGCTGTCATTTAGAGCACAATGGACCGTGTTTCAATATTCATTTGTTTTTCAGACTTTGTTTTTCGTAGAAAGGTCTCTTAAATACTCTTTTGTGTAATATTATGCCTGGAGGTTGACTAATGTTCTATTATATAATGATTAAATAAATTTCATATACGTACTAAGTACCTATACTATTTTCATAAATACATAGTATATCTAATATATATTTGGAGATTTCAAATTGGTAAATATCGTCCTTCAAAATATTCCACCACGAGTCCACGTAAATTTTATTCCAGCGCCGTGGACTCGCCTGGCTCTGAATGTTTTGAGTCGGGTGCCACCAATTTCTCGTAAAATGTACGAGAAATTGGTGGTACCCGCATATCATTGTGAAAATGGTTATGGTCATGAAAGTGTTAAAAATAATTATACTGAAATATCAGAATACAGAACAAACCAGAAGGCGTCATCGCGCTTCAAACTGAAGCAACTAAAACCACTCATAACTAGACTTGTATGAAATTTCTACGATCAGTCAATTTTGGCACGTGGCATGTCGTGACGTATTTACGAGTATCAATTTTAATTTCATTATGCCGTATTGTGCTATTCCTACGAGTAAAAATGCGGCTGGAATTACGAAAAAAGTGGATAAGATTACATTTCATCTGCAAGCATCGACTGCAATAGTATATTTAATTAATTATTGAATTTTTTTATCGATTTATTTCTATGAAAATGATGCGGCCATTTTGTGAGTGTTGTCATTTTTGATAAAAATTTTACTTACTTATTTATTTGTTGTGGGTTATATTTTTGTGCATTATGGAGCCTATGTCATATTAGTTTCCCTGACGACTAAAAAATAAAAATCATACAAAGGGCACGGTTAGATAAATTTTGGAAACCATTCAGCCAGAGCATAGTTTGCTCAATTCACTTTGAAGAGATATATTTATGACAAAGGTGGTCTGAAAACAGCATTTCCTACTTAGATATATCTATACTAATGATAATGCTGAAGAGTTTGTTTGTTTTTTTGCTTGAATGCGCTAACCTAATCTTTAGTTCCGAGTCTAAAGACAATACATATAAAAAACTAAACCAGCAAAAGGGAACGCAATAAACCTTTGTACTTATTGAAGCTTTGTTTTATTTGTTGTGTATAGTAGGTGTAACTAAAATTAACACAGTCAGAAATCGTGAAATGTGTGAACAACTAGTCTGTTACATTTATCGTAAGTTTACCTATTTTGTTGGGTTTACCCATATCTTACCCTCCCGTTGTAAAATTACCCCAAACCCTGGGAATTGTTCCACTGTCGGCAACACTACGCGAGTGGGAAGTGCGGCTGGCGGGGGGATTGACGTATTGTTTTTGGACACATTTGACGACATGTAATTATGAGTGAACGCGTATTCTGGTTTGTTCTGTATTCTGAGACTGAAATCAATCCCATACTTGATTTATACCTCAGAATACAGAACAACTGTATTCTGTGATTTATACATAAAACTCAAATATAGAAACCATAAGTTAAGTATTAGTTCTAAAACTAAACTTCTCAAAAGTAAGAATCAAATTTCTCTAAAACCTTAAACTTAAAAACTTATAGAAGTATTAGTGATACAATAAAATAGAAATCTCATAAAAGAATGTCTTTTTATTAAAACTTTTTTTGTGAATTTTAACGATAGTACAAAAGAAATAAGTTTAGTAAAATCAGGCTTCTGTAAGCTTTTATTTATAACAACAGATTTTATTACAAAACTATTTTGCTTAATTTGAAAAATAAAAATTCTGTCTATTCTTTTCTTTGCCTTATTATTTTCAGGATAGATACCTACATTTGTGCGTCTCAAGTAAAACTTTTCTTAATTTGAAAACTTGTAACATTCAAATAAATTTATAGTAATTTAGGTACCTACCATTGACAAGATTGCTATTAAAACTTTTTATTAGAAACATATTTTAACATTTTTTTTTAAATTATCACTCGTGTTTCCATTTTGAGAGTTTCTATTCTTTAATTGTAAGTGTTCTGTGAAGTTAAAATAAATAGCAAAATTTGTTGATAAGAGCATAACTCAAAAACCCCTGGATCAATTTTGCTAAACCTTACTTTGTTGTATTCATTATTTCTAGAAGAAGGTTTTTATGAAAGATAATTTTAAATTAGAGAGACACATCTAGTAAATCGCAACCAGGTACATACACGCGGGAAGCAGGGACGGGCCGCTAGTACAGAATAAATAAAGGTCGATATGTAGATTGTTTTCACCTACTCTGTTTTTCTCACGAGTCGGTTCTACACATTTGACAGTCGCTAGGCAACAGCGCTTACTGATAAAATAGAACCTGTTAAACAGGGATTTCACCTGCATGACATTGACGAGAATAATAGTAAACCCTCTTTAGTAGAGGATAGTCAAAGTCCAGCAATGAAATATGAAAGGCTTTTCGTAGTAGACTTAATAAATGAATTCAAATCATTCATGGCTTATTGCAAAGCATCATTTTAAATAAAACTAGTAATTAAAGGAGTTTCAGACATTTATTAACAAAAAACGCCTCTCTTTCTCTTTCTTAGACATACGAACATTATAGCGCTTAATCAAAAATAATTCAAAAAAGAACACCATGCTTTCGATGCTTTCAAGCTACAAAATTCGAAAGCCTAATCTTCAATACCCTTCACAAAACATTACGCAAATTCACTAAGCTTCGTCTTGTAACAACAATCAATATTAAAACCAATTATCGACTAAAACTCCTTATTTATTGAATAAACGAACTTTGCAGAATTTAAATACACTTCGCTAATTCTTACGACCTTGAAGAAAAGGTAATTTACTAAGAACGTGTAAATGGCGAGGGTTTTCATACAAACTTTCAGTTCCAAAATCATGGAAAGTACTAAACAGATTTTTAATGAATGGTTGGTTTTTTTATGTGACATGTCGGCAAATGAGCATTCGAATTACCAATCAGAGCCACCCATGGACACCAGCTGCGAGTTACGAGTGCGTTACTGATTTTTTGGAAATTAGGGATACCTATGCAGATTTTTGGATTGGGGGAGGAGAAAAATTGGGCCTCCGGTAACCTCACTCACAGCGCGAAACACGACGCTGTGGTTGGTTTACGCCGGTTTCTGTGAGGCAGTGGTATCACTCCGGTCGAGCCGACCCATTCGTGCCGAAGAATGATTCCGCAAACGAGCAGACGGATTACCTGCTGGTAAACAATCAGCACCTCCCATGGACACCCGCAACGGAGGATTTACGAGTGCGTTGCCGACCTTTTAGGGATTAGGGATTTGGAGATTTAAGGATTGGGGGAGGGGAAGGATTGGGCTTCCGGCATCTCTCTAAACTACATATTTGTCGAAAATGTTCCTTGATGTAGTATGTATGTCGTATTTCACTCTGATCTTTTGTTTTTACTACAACATTTGACCTTCGCATTTAAAAATGGGACAACTCTTTGTCGTTCCGTACTTACGTAAGTATCATCAAAACATTTTAAGTTCCATTGTTACTTACACACATTTCTTGTATCCCTTTTGGATACAAGAAATGTGAAATGAACGTTAAAGTCGTGTGATTATAAACTTGACTTAAAAGGATTTTGTGATATAAATGAGGCATGGAACGGATTTTCTCCATTAATCATACGGATCTCCGTAATTATAAGTTTTATTGAGCTTTTTCGGCTGTATTTCAATGTCAATGTGCTTTAAAACTTAAATCAATTATTATGTTTAACGCTTTACACACGTAACTAAATGCTTGACGAGGAACTCGACTAATTTCAAACCACGTCTTGGTCTTATATTCAAGTGAAGCATTGTTTGTGTACCTACATCATAAACATGCCTAGATCGTATCTAAACTCTAGATAACTTTTTATGTTAATTAAAAAACTTAAACTGTTTACATAACAATCTGTGTAGGTAAATCATCTATTCAATTTCACAACCTTTTTAATACCACAAACTAATTATAATTACTTATTGATACCACTAATTGAACTCATAGTACTCCAAAACCCTTTTAAAAACAAAACTTTAATCATAACCAAAAAAAAGTTGACATTTAAAACATGAAACTCTTTATAAATTAACAAAAAAGAAATGATTAGTCATAATAAAAAAACTGGCAAGAAATACGAAGCTGTCACAATTCTAAAAAACATTTATTTGATTTCTTAACACTTTTATGATAAAACTTTTAATTAAAATTCTCTTTAACTTTAGCAAATAATGACAGTTCAAAGACGCCATGTTGGAATTCGAATACAACATGGCCGTTGGGTATCGATTTCATTCGATTGTTTGTGTGAATACACTCGATCGAATCTTGAAGCCTTTGAAAGACACGAGAGCTTCAATACGAGTCTAATTTAGTAAAGAATTAACTGTTGCGAGTATTATCTAGTTGATAGAGAGATGGCTTTTGTTTCATTTAATTAATTCCGAGTAAAAAAAGACCCAACGATTTTATAGACACGTTGTGG